ACGGACCCTGTTATGAAACTGGTCCGAACGGACCAAGTGTCCAGACCGAACGGACTACTAAGCAGTCCGTTCGGTCTGGGGTTCGGATTTAATTTTAAAGTCCGAATCTAGGGTTAATCACTTGAATAAGAGGAGAATTAGAACCCTAACACTAATGAGCCGACTTAGAGAACTTTTCAGACCCTTTTGGAGAGTCTAGAGGGTTGAAGAAATGATCTTAATCTCACTTTCTGAAAGCACATCATCGAATAGAAGATTCGTGTCCTAGCAGACAAGTTCCAAAGGTCGGAATCCATCCCGAGGTGTGGATACGTGTAGAGGGCGAGGTATTCTTTCTGCCTATAGTGATCGGACGAACACATCAATTGAAACAGGCCCCGGATCAAGTGAAATCGCCTGAGTATGTGTTTGGATATTTGGTGTGACCGGGGTTCCTTAGCTTGCGCAATCGCACCATTGTTGTCACAATACAACTCAATGGGATCTGCAATGCTAGGAATGACGCCCAGGTCTCCCACGAATTTCTTTATCCAAACAGCTTCCTTAGCTGCATCAGATGCTGCTATGTACTCGGCTTCTGTAGTCGAATCTGCAACGGTTGGCTGTTTGGAACTCTTCCAACTGATAGCCCCACCGTTCAGACAGAAAACATAACCTGACTGCGATCTGAAGTCATCTCTATCGGTTTGGAAACTAGCATCGGTATAACCACTTATAGCAAGCTCGTCTTCCAATCCGCCATACACCAAGAACAAATCCTTAGTCCTTCTTAAGTACCTAAGGATGTTCTTGACCGCAATTGAGTGAGCCTCACCTGGTGTAGATTGATATCTACTAGTCATGCTCAATGCATATGATACATCTGGACGAGTACACAACATGGCATACATGATGGATCCAATTGCCGAGGCATATGGAATCCTACTCATGCGCTCTTGCTCATCCTGTGTCTTTGGACACTGATTCTTGCTAAGAGCAACGTCATGTCCCATTGGCAAGGCACCCCTCTTGGAGTCTTGCATCTTGAACCGATTCAAGACCTTGTCAATGTATGTACTCTGACTTAGGCCAAGAAGCCTTCTCGATCTATCTCTATAGATCTTGATTCCTAGAATATAGGCGGCTTCTCCTAAGTCTTTTGATAACTCCTAATTCTCTCTATATTTCCTAGACGTTTCTATAGGATTTAGAGAGGATCATATTCATTTGTAGACATTATAGGCATGTTAGGCCATGAAACTCGGTTTGGTTGTGTTTTTATAGGATTACAGGTCTCGGACGTGATTTGGACCAAAACGGGAGCAATCTGGAGCTAAAGGGATGAAATACGTCAAGAGCTTCCTTCTTGATTCGGCTGGAGTCAGACACCCCGAGTCAGACACCCCGAGTCACAATGCCCAAGTCAGACACCCCGAGCAGACACCCCGAGTCAGAAGAATGGGCTAGGCCAAATTCTTAATAATCTCGTTTTGACTCGATCGAGTCAGAGTACTGACTCGGTCCGAGTCAAAACCCAGAAAAAGCCCAGATTTGAATTTTTAGAGTTTTGATGGGAATAGGACTTCGGGGGCGCCGCCTAGGGTTTATAAAAAGAGCCTACAGACGTCCAAGAGGAGGGGACAGACTCTATACAGACTTTGGAGAGCTTTGGTGAGAGAAATAGGAGT